TCAAAACCACCACAACCACCTCGAAGCCCCACCACCACCAGAAAAAACCACATACAACCTCCCAATTACTACTAATTTTAAAATTAAAAAAATTATAAGTGAAAAAATTACCTTTTTATATCATCAAATATGGCTTTAGATGGTCAAATACACCCATAAAAACTCCAGATCTAAGAGTTTTTAAGGGTGAATTTGACCTTTAAAACCTAAATTTTACATTTTTTGGTGGAGGTACTAGAATAAGATGAGAGAGAATGTCGGTTGTGGGGCCTTAGAGGGGCAGCGGCGTGAAAAAGTGGCAGTGACAACAGGGAAGGAATCCAAAAACGGCGTCAAGATGGAGTGGCTGGTGCTCCACTAATATGAGGGAGAAGTTTTTTTTGAGAAGTCGGTGGAAGATCTGTAACTTATTACTTATGTAACCCAAACAACATACTACAACAAAGGGTATCATTTCCTTTCCCCCTCAATCCCTTTCTTGATTCCATTCCGTTTACCCCGTCTGAATCAAACGGCCCTCAATATTTTTCTTTCACGTGTTTTAGTTTCTTGCTGTTTTTATTTTTTTATTTTTTAAGATAAGCTTCTCACATTTCGCATACATTAGTACTTTATTACTGCTATACTTTGTGTGTTTCCTCCTTATATAATTTTTTTTTATATTTTCTTAAAAAATAAATTTTTATAAATTAAAAAAATAATTTATTATACATTAATTGCTGTGACCCCGTACCAGTGTCCAAATTTCGAAAAGAGTCCCCGTGTCCTGGAATTTTGAGATTGAATCATCGAACACTCGGATACGGGTCCCTCCTTCCCGAGTCCATGCTACACATTATTTAGGTATTCTAAAAAAGAAAAGATTGAAAATACGCGTGTTTTTGTCATAAATTCCCAATTTATACCATTTTAGAGAGTATTTTTAGTGCTTTAAGGGTTGTATGTAGCATTAGTGCATTACCATACAAAATATAGGAATTGATGACCAATTTATATTGACTAAATTCCAATTTATTTAACCATTTATAATTTATAAGATCTAAGCATGGTACATGCATTAGCTAGTTTCTATAATAGGCTATACAAGAGACTTAATCTAAAAGTGTGCCACGTTTTAGAATATACCAAAATCAAACCCAAGCCTGATACTACATCGAGCAGACAAGCACTTATCAAAAATAATTTCATAATAACTCGTATTATGCACTGATAATTTCTAGATATAAACTTATAATGGTATATTTGATTTATTCTGTAATCAAGTCAGGTCTGCAACTGTAATGCAACTTCCTTTTATTCTTATCTAGCTAGATGTATTAGATAGCTGCAATTGCAACAAATATCACTAGTTCCTCCTTTGGCTCAATCTTTTTGTGTGAACCACAAATTGACCACCTGCTGTAGCTGATGGAGAAGAATAGATAGCACCCTTATACCTTTTTCATATAATAGCTGGAATTCTGATGTTGAACTTTGAATGCCTGTCCTTGTATCAAACGTCAGATGACAACACTAGACTATATGTTCTCAGCTATAACCATGTGTTTGGATAAAGAAAGGGGGAGAGAAAGGGAAAGGGAGGGGAAGGGGAGGGAAAGGGAAAGGGAAAGGGAGGGGAAGGGGAGGGAAAGGGAAAGGGAAAGGGAAAGGGAGGGGAGGTAAGAATGATGAGTTTTCTTTCCAAATCTCTCCATTGTTGGAGAGATCAATTTCTTACAATTTAATCTCTTCATTTAATTCCCTTCCTTCTTCTTTGTTATCCAAATGAAAGATATTCCTCCCCTCCATTTCTCTTCCCTTTCTTTCCCTCTATTTCCTTCCATCCAAACAAAGGGTAAACTAATAATTATCATTTGAGAATTTAGACTCCTCTAATTTTCTGAAATTCATAAAACATGAGGTGTATAGAATGTTAGTTTGTTATCAATGAGCTTTGTGGAGAAACTTTGTAAAGTAAATGTCCTAGGAATCCTAACTAACTTGCGATTGCAGAATGTCTTGGAAACTCCTATCGGCTTATCTTAATGTTTAATAAAATCTCAAGCTAGTTAATGCTTGAGCCATGCTTGGATTTTACAACCGTTACATGGTTTAAAAAATTGGAATATAAATTCGTCATTAATTGCTACTCCCTCTATTTTTAAATACTTGCTCCATTTCTATTTTTTGCACTATTCATTTGTCCTACTTTGACTAATGTTTGTGATTATACACAAGGGAAAATATGGTCTTGTGGGTACTTGTTGGAATCGTCTTAATAAATAGATTATTAATTTTCAATTGTTAGAATTTATATTTATTGATAATTAAAGATATTATTGATCAAAGATTAGCATCGACATACGTGGTCAAGAGAAATGGAGCAAGCATTAAAAAACGGAGGGAGTATATAATCTAGGGTAATGCTATATGCAATCCTTGAAGCACAAAAAAGTGGTATAAATTTGAGAATTTATGATAAAATCACGCGTAGATTTGTGTAATTAATGCTAAGTTAATCTCCAACTTTTCCTGGTTTAGCATTTCCGTTTTTTGAATATCTAGCTTAAGGAATACTATGTAGTATGCAATTACTTTTTCTGAAAAAAAAAAAAGTAAAAAAAAAAAAATGTACAAATAAGAAAAAAAAAAAAATTTACTGTATTCAATTATTAGGTTAGTAGAAAATATATATATATATATTTATATATATATATATATTAGTTCATAGGATATAGTTTGCTTTTAGAAATATACAAAATTGATCCATTATTTCTAAGTACACTAATTCTCCAAAAAGGCGGGTGTACGTTAATTTATTGTAAAATTGGTTAAAGTTATGTTAAAAGTACTTAAAGTCACCCTGTATACTGCAAAAGTTATTATTTTTCTATTAATAACTTTTTTCTTACAAAAAACTTATAATGTATTAGATTGATCATATTAGTCTTTATAGTATGTAATCCAGTATCTATAAGAAATTACACATTAAAATAAAATTCAAACCAACGACAAATTAAAAGTTACCCTTTAGGTGGTTAAAGTTACCATATAAATAATTAAAGTTACGCTTAAACGGATCGTTTTACAATAAAATTAATGTACACCCATTTTACACAAAAGTTATTCTTCTAAGTATACTTTACTTCAATATATAATAGGAAAAATGAAAATAAATAATCCCACCTTTGCTCAATCTTCCCAAAACAATTCCACCTTTATAGTATGTAATCCAGTATCTATAAGAAATTACACATTAAAATAAAATTCAAACCAACGACAAATTAAAAGTTACCCTTTAGGTGGTTAAAGTTACCATAAAAATAATTAAAGTTACGCTTAAACGGATCGTTTTACAATAAAATCAATGTACACCCATTTTACACAAAAGTTATTCTTCTAAGTATACTTTACTTCAATATATAATAGGAAAAATGAAAATAAATAATCCTACCTTTGCTCAATCTTCCCAAAACAATTCCACCTTCAATATATTCCAAAACAATGCTCCTTTGACATGGATTTTCTTTAAACTGTCTTTTTGATCTACAATCATTTTAAACAGATTTACCACCCTAAAAGCCTTTTGCCACCTACCACCTCACCCTGACGCGTTGCTACCTGCCGTGCTACCACCCTCACCCATTGCCGCTTGAGATGCAGCCCAGCCTGCCTCCAGCTGCCCCGAAAACCCTTGAACTCCCCAGCCCCACCCCAAAACCCCAACCACGCCGAAAACCCCACCCAGGAAACCCCACTAGCCACCCCCAAAAACCCCACCCCCATCCTGAAACCAGTCACGCCGGTAACCCTACCCCACCTCAAAAACCCCATCCCTGAAGCAGCAACATAGACATACCATCCCGGGGAAGGGGAAGACGAAAACGGGGGTTAAGTTGTCGGGGAAGGGGGGGTGGTCAGCCGGGGGGCGGCGCTGGGTGGGGAAGGGATGTGGTTTTTTTTTTTTCTTAATTAATTTTGTAATTTTTAATCATTAAAAAAATAATATAGACCTATTAAAAGTCGACACGTGACAAACAACCTAAGAAAACCGATTACAAACACTGTCAAGGATTGTTAAAAGATCCCTGTGAACTATATAAAATATGTTACTCTGACACCTTGCTGTACATTGAGTGTCCGCTGTCTGATCCTCCGACACTTTGACACAACACAACACCCGAATGTATAGTGGCCTTATATCAAATTTTATAAAATCTGGAGTGTCGAAGGATCTGACACCGTGTCAGACACAACACCCAAACCAAGTCTGTGCAACATAGCCTATAAAAGGTGGGATTGTTGTAGAATAAATTGAAGGTGAGATTGTTTTTGGAATAATTTAAAGGTGGGATTATTTATTTCCATTTTTCTTATATAGTATTGAACATCTCTATTTTGGATATATGTGGAGAAACTTTATTTTTGAACTCTATTTTTCTGAAATTCATAAAATGTGAGAGATACACCAAAGTAGTTGTTATCAATGAATTTGTTGGAGAAACTTACTCTCGGGGTAAAGTCTGAAGTTATCTAACAGACATGCCAACTGAGGACTTGCAATTTGATTTCAGGGCAATGAAAACTTTGTAAAGCAATAAAAGTCCTAATTTGCAACTGTAGATTTTCCTGGATACTCCTATCAACTTATCTTGGTGTTGAATAAACTCCCGAGCTACTGGAATATAAGCTTTCCTGAAGTCAATATACATCAATCATTTAGGGGAACTGGGGAAGTAACTTTATTTCTGTACTGGCTGAATGTGAACAATATAAGTGCCTCTTGATTGATATGATAGCCATTATGTGGTAACACTTATAAATTTAAAACACTGCATGCCTTGAGATCGGCATTTCAAACAGAATTGGACCGCAGTTTACTAATTAACTCGTGCAACCACATAATAACAAGGATCAATGATATAGGGACTTAGTGAATGCTTTCTTCTTCTAATGAAAAGGTAAATAATTTATGTCTATTCTCTATTTGTTACAAATTTGAGTTTTTTTTGTATGTACAGGTCCTCACTGTAAACCAAGTGGTGGAGATACTTCTCAGGTACCTGGAGATGAAAGATTGGAAGGCTGCTTTCTTTCAGGTGATTCCTCAGAGGAAACGATGTGACACAGACTTGGGTGATCATGATAAAGAATTAGAAGGCGATGGGAAGTTAGAGAATGACAGTTGTGCGGAGAACCAAAAGAAAATGAAATTATCTGAAACAGATTCTGAGGGAAGTGAAAGAGAAGTGGAAAATGGTGAAAATGTGAAGGATAATGTATCCAAACTGAGGGAAGATACAGATTCAGAGGCAAGTAAAAGGGAGATAGAAGTTGATAAAAGTGAGAAGGAAGATGTCTGATGAATACAGAGTAACAATATGTTCACTTCTCGTTTTTCTTTGATGTATTTCGCTTAACCTTTTCCCCTTTTATAGGGGGATTCAGTTTTAGATTAATCTAATTTTCCTCAACCCTGAGTATTTGCAATTTGCGAGTTCCTTACTTTTCTTTACTGGAATGCCTTGGCGTTTGTGTGGTTTTACCCCTCTCAAATTAAATGTGGCATCCATTAGGAAAGGTTGGAGGTGGTTTAGATTATTCTTTAATTGGTGACAAACAGGGACAATAGCCTGATATCTAAACCTGAGCCTTAATGACCCATTACAACCCCACTCCTGAACTGGGTGCAACGAACCAGCTCATTGCCTGCAGCAACTCCCAAGTGCCAACAAGAGTGCCTCCATTCGAATTTAATGATAGAACTTGTTGGAAAACCAGGATTATATTGGCGCGGGCTACTGTCTCATTGGCAGATTGTTAATTTATGAACGCAGTTTTGATAGACTGAGCCTTGGTTTTCACTGCTTATTAAACATGTTGTGTACTGTACGACTTAGTATATTAGGACAAATAATTAGTAGTTAATTATGAGTGTAAAGCTAATTATGGATTTAGAAATTGGGCTATTCAGAGTAAAGATGGCATAAAATTACTTCATCGCATAAAATTACTTCTTCAAAGTTTATACTTGTAACCTTCATGGATATTCCGTTTGCCTGTAATGGTATTATAGTCTGTCATTCTATGACGCTGAGATTGAGCTGTGTGAGACTAAAAGTGCAACCTTTCCTGTCCCTCTATGATTTAGGCTCTTGTTGTGAGGTTTTCTCTAATTCATCTTCTCCTTTTCAAAGGTTTTTCTTACCGATTTTCTTAGACCTTTGTGACAAGGGCTACTGTAAAGGATGAATATAAAGCGATGAAGTGATTGATACAAACAATATGAGAGCGATGTAGATTGGGTGGTGGATGTAGAAATGAGGAAAGGTGAAAGTCACTCTTAGCATGGTGATAAAGGTCTAGATGGGTCATAACATCAACTCTAATGTTCTTAATTGGTATAATGACACGAATTTGGAACCCTATACACGGGATGTAGGCAAATTGGATTGAGAAAAAATGTTTATGTTCTTCCAATTTCTTGAACAAAGGGGATAAAGAGCTTTTTTACCAAATCATAACAATGGCATTTTGATAAACAATATACGATTTTGAGCGAAATTATAAATAATGTCTAACCTTGAAAATTTCATTGTCTTAGGCATGGCATATTGATAGACATTCATTGAATTCGTGTAAAATTACAAGTGATGTTAAACACTTCAATATTCCATCGTATTATACGAAGTATCTCTTTTTGGGCAAGGAATCACGATTTGTCAGTTAAAGAGGGGTATGACAACAACAAAGTCAAAATGGAGCACTAATTAAAAAACGGAGGAAGTAGCAAACAAATTTGGAACTTTAGTGAGTGTTGATAAATATTAGGTTAATCTTTTCTCAAAACTACAATCTAAATTATCCAGAAAATGAGCATCAAATGTAATCAACCTAAGGTCCAAAGGTCTTATCAAGTCTACGTAGTCTCCAATTATATTTGGTGCTAACTTCCGTGTCAAGTAGTTGAATCTTCCAAGGGCAGGTATATGCAAAATCGTTGAATCTTCCAAGGGCAGGTATATGCAAAATCGTGACGTAGTTATCGTTGTTTCCATTCTTTACAACTCATTCGTAAGGTAGCTTCTCCTATTCAGGATTTCAGGCATGGATGTGAACCAAAACAGATAAGACACACCAAAATTGTTTCTAATTAAACATACAAGAAACATTTAATTATAAGAATTCTTCAGAAAAGGTGAAATATTTCATACATAATACAAAACATGATGGAGATATTATTGGAGGTAAAGAACTTGGATTAATTTAACAGACCACCAAATTCAATTTCCACTGAAGCATAGTGTAGCCAGTAACAACCTCACTGCCTTGCCTACCAAATAAAAAACAAATATTTCAATAATTTTTTTTTAAATAGGCTTGACATTGGACAGCTCAACTCTATCGAGTCTTTCTGTGAAAAAATATACTAGTATATTCTGAGTTGACCCAACAAAATGAACTTATTACATTCCTGTTTATAACTGCAAGTCAACATTGAGCTCTTTGCTCTTTAACCAGTTCTGGATAAAAACTCGGTAATGAAATTTGTAACCAAAAACCAAAAGGGGTGTGAACTGAGTAAACACAGTTCAAACTTTAGCAACTTTGTAGGGATGTAGAACCAGTCGGGCTATCACTACTCTGACATATGATACGAAAATCAATTTCACTCGAGCCTAATCTCTTACTATCAGGACAAAGATACACGCCCATCTTGAATAGACCAGCTTCTCCTGCATCTGATACCTCTACAGAAAAAGAGTCATCATACCAAATAGTGCAACAGGTTGTGGCTTCTAAAGATTAGTGCATTATCATTGTGGACGCAATTTGACATACTGATCAGCGGCTTTGGATAACGACTGTATTGATATAGGAAATCCTGGACCCATCTGTGCAAGGGAAACACAAACCATCATGGGATAAGAAAAAAAAAATCCAAGTAGATTCCTACAAGCAACTTAGCAGCCCCAGAATTTAATGGAAAAGAAAGAGAACAATTATCTGTTTCCAAAGAAAGCAATTGCATAAGCGCAGGTAGCGCAGAATATCCCATCACTTCCCAATTATAAAAGAAAACAAACATGTAGGCTTTCTTTATCATTTTGAAGGCTGTTGTACTATCTCATAAGGCAAAAGTAATATTCCCAATAGTATAGCTTACCTGGTTTGGTATAAAAACGCAACAACCTAATAGCATCAATTAATCAAATTGAAGTTCACAATTTGTGAAGATTAAGGCATTGGTGCACATCACATCATGTAATCACAGTCCTAGGATTGCCTGAGCACATTCTGTTAGCAACTTTCATAGTGAACCTAAAATGACCCACTTACAATCTTTATTGTTTCAACCTAGAGACTTTTCAATTTGTAATAGTATTCTCCCACAACCAAGTTGTTCTGCTGCAAGTTGCAACTAATGTGGGTCTTTCTTGAGTTAATATAGTGTGCCACATTGATTTGCCCATAACCCTACAACCTCATCCCAACATTGTTTAGGCACTTGGTTCGTAGATTTTAGGTATGAGGTATGGGTTTAGAATGGGTAAAACCCACACCTAATATCTTTTTTAAAGAAAATTTCAATTTCTAAACCCACACCTCAAACCTACAAGGTATGGAGTTTAAAAACCTAGGGGAGATTTGGGTATGACTCATACTATAGTAATTATACCTCTAGGGGCTCTAGGTATCAAATAAACAACAGAAAAAAAAAAATCATCCCCAAACAAAAACCAGACACAAGGTATTACGGAGTAAGAAACAAGTTCCAACACCATACGTCCATACCAACCTAGTTTCATTCCTGATTCCGAATTCATACTATTCTTTGAACGAAATGCCCCCTTAGGAAATTCTACAATCACTAGAATCAATATCTATTTGTCCGTAAATATAGTTTCTGTATTCCTTAGGCGTCCCTAAATGATGTTCCCGTTTCTTTTTTTACCCTTTATAGATGCCATGAAATGACCAAAATAACCTCATCTTTCTTTGTCTATTTTACTTTTAGTACCCAATTATAAAGGTACATGAACAGCGACTCAATTCTTCAGTAATACGGAATCAAATGTTCGAAAATGCCCTCATTTGACTCTTATCTATGTGCCCCCACTCATGTGCATGTACTTTAATTTTTTTTACATGTACTTATTGGTGGTCCACTCAAATTTTTAGTACTTTTCTCTTTTGTGGTACTTAACGTACTTGCTTATCCCTTTTCTTAATTCCCGTGAAATTTGGCATACGAGAACTGTATTTAGGAACGGAGGGAGCAATTGGTTTTATGGAAACAAACAACCGTGATCAAGCCATGTAGTCACCTCACATCCTCACCAGCTCAACCATTTTGACCATTTGTCTAGGTTTACAGATCCTTCAGCTTGGCACCCAAGTGCCATCAATAAACCAAGCCAGTTCATATAACTAAGTGCAGTTCTTAGTTTCTTACACTTCTTATCCAATAGAAAATGGATTCCATTGAATATTATGATGGCTAAAAGCATGGCAGAAATATCACAAATGGCCACAAACAGTGGATCCAAGTAAGGATATTGGTTTTGAGAGCTGATGTATCTCCCATCTATTTTTCTTTCTTGAGCCAGACATCTTGGTGTTCTGGTTTTTGAAGCTTTGCGCATAAAGATTTGATTATTATCAAAACAATATCCTTTGACCCTTAATCTTAGAGCTCCAATTTCATAAAAAAATTGAAGAAGAATGTGTTTTAATCACTGTTTATGATTCCAATATTCTGTATTTCATTCACAAATTGTTTGGGTTTCTAACAAAAAGGCTAAAAGCCTATAAGCTATACATTGTCTTATTCTCTTATATATATAGTCATTCTACCCTACTATAATACCTTAGCTATGAGTAGCACAAATGACAAAATACAAAAATCTTTGCATGAGAATAATCCTAGAATAAAGATCACATGATTTAATGAATATATATATAAAAAAATTGCCTAGGCAATCCTTGGACAATGATCACTTGATGTAATGAGCACCAATGTTGCACGCACCTTAATGTGCAACATTCTTCACACGATCATGAAAAAGGTAGATTTAATTCACACAGAACAAGTAATAACTCAAAATCGCATCATCCTTAATTGTAGGTTACATATAAACTAACCTAAAGTTGCTATAATTAGTCCACGTCTCCAACAACCAGAATAAAGACTGCTACAAGCATTAGGAGATGTGCTTCATTCATCCCCTAGAAAATGTGTGAAACCGCAACTAAAAAACAAACTTATGGGAGTTATGGCCCACTATTTCCTACTAAAGCAAGAAAACTAAATAAGAGAGCCTAAACAACAGTGTAACCCTTTGTGGATTTGGCCCCATCATTAACCATACACTGCTCAAACTTGCACCATGTAAAACCCACCAATTTAAGGGTAAAGTTAAAACCATGGGCTTATGCAAAAAGAAAACAATTTATACACAGATGACTTCGCAAGCCCACATGACTATTCAGCAAGCCAAGTAAGACAACTCAAAATTCTTGCTTAGACGCAAACAAATTAAAGGCTACTTAAGGATAGGTTATTGGCTTGTCAACTAAAATTGTCTCAGCATCTGTAATAAACTAGTTTATATGATATTTTCTTAGTTAAGCACCCCACCTTTAAGCTTAAAAAGGATTGTATTTTACTATTGATATAATTTACACAACTCTAAATTCCTCACAAAGAGTAGTAATCATCATCATTTTTGCCTTTAGCTAGAAATATGGTGAAAAAAAGAGAATCAATTTAGATTGCTTGATAGCTTAATGGTGGGGGTTCTATAGTAAAATAAATAAATAAATAAATAAATAAGGTTCATATACGCAGATTTTATTTGCAAAATGTATATACACAATTTTTTCCTAATCTAACAAAAGAAATCTATTTTAAAATTCGTTTAATATGTATCAATGATCATCATTAGTTAACAAACATTGACCCACAAAAGTCAAATACTGTAAAGCACATTGGCAAGAAAAGATGAGAAGATGACCCTCCTAATCCTCATAATTCACTTTTATATCAAAGATCAACCTGTTTTAAATTGGGTATGAGGGAGGGTGTTATCAGAAAATGACTGTAGTTCAATTGTGGATGAGAGAAGTGGGACATAGAGAGAGAGAGAAGGGAACCAGTGGGTTAACAAATAGAGGTGATTAGAGAGAGAAATGTATGACATTTTTTTATCGAGTGTTTCCATTTTGCTCAAGTGCTTAGTTGGGAAAGAATCAAGCCACTTGAAAGCTTGAATATCGTTTAGCATTTCTGTACTTTTCAAATCAATCAAAATCCAACTTGTTCTTCCCTTCAATTTTGTCATCAATTTCCAGTTTATCACAATACCTTGAAATGGAAATGAGCAAGAATAATTGTAGACTTGTAGTGAAAGAAGGTAAGGGGAATCTGAAGTCTAAAACATTTACCCCCAACCCCATTATAAGTGGAGGGCCAGAACAGGCAGTTAAGCGTCGAAGCATGGATTAGTCCACAATCATATATCAAGGAAAATATGTGCAGGAAATGTTACAGTACATATCACTTTAAACTCACCGTGCTACATAGATGGAAAGAGTTCACATAGCCAGCATATTTTGAAGCTGCAAAATACAAGAGCATAAAAGCGTCAGTTATGACATGCAAACCTATGGGTCAATCTCCCATTCTAAGTAAACCAATCATTATAATTCAAAGAATTTAGTAGTCATGCAAAAACAACACGTATGACATTGACACATCCATCAAATGACAAACCAACCATACAGAATATAGAAACAACTAGAGATCGTAGGCATTAAGATGGCATAATCAATTGGCCAAATTGAGCAAAGTTTCATATTGGCATATTGCTAATTTTCTACAAATGAAACTTCCATGCATGTATATGATTGGTCTCTTTTGTGGGTGCACAGGATTCTTATTAATGTAAGGTGCTCTACAGGAAGCAGTCTTAAGGAACTCATCCTTTCCTATTGTAAAAAAGGTGTCCATCTTCCTTGTCCCCACTCACAAAACCAGTCCTTGCGACTAATAAGCTTGAGATAGCAATTGGTATATAAAATTAGTGAAGGTATGTTCATTTCGCCTGATATAAGTCTATTACAACTTATAGCCAAAAAGCTCCTTTGCCATGGAGATATGAATTGCTTTGCCATAATATAAAGAAACAGTACCACAATAAATGATTATTTATGAAAAGCTTACAGACTTACAGTATACAGACATACACATCTCATTTATTGTGTCTCAAAAGCCTCAAGGCAACATAGAGTCAAGACGCTGTACACATCTCATCTATTGTATCTCAGAGCCTCAAGGCAATATAGAGTCAAGACACTGTGCAGCTTGTATCATAAACTTACTTGAATACACCCGTGTTGTGAATAAATAAATCTAAATATTATCTAATGTTTGAAAGAAATTGTAACGAAGACAATTGTTTCAGAACAGGGAAAAAAATGTTTCTACAGAAACTGTAGAACCACCTCGTCCACAATTATCAAGGGAACAAATAAATTTCAGAGACAACCTTGGCAATATTTAAAAAGAACCTAGGAGGCAAGGACAATATTCATCCCTCAGCCCAAGACCAAATCCTAGAAGAAGGAAGAAAAGGAAAAGGATGAAAGAAGGAAGAACAACATCAAAGAAAGGAGGGGGTAGAGGTTAGCAGTAATGCACATACAAGAAGATACGGAAAAAGAAGAACAGTATTAAAGAAGGAAGAGAGGGAAAGCAAGTATGAGCACACAAGACAAGCTAATAGTGCTATACAATGCAAATAAGAAAATCTGGTAACTTACTCTTCTTTAACCCTGCAGGCTTTGCAAGCAAAAGAGCATTCACAAATGCACCAACATTCGCTTGCAAAGCTTCCTCTGGAAAACTCACCTGCACATGACAGGCTTTACAGTGAGAACGTAGTTGCAGTATAAAGAGATGAGAATATTGAGGGAGCAAAGGTTGACAGAATACCTTCCCCAACCCCACATGAACAATAGCATCCTTCATTCTGAAATCAAGCAATCCCTGCTTTGCCTCTTGTACTGCCGCAGCAACATTGTTGGTCACAGTACCTTTCTACAGATTTGACTCTTAGTACATGAAATTGAATCATTCAACAGCTACAAACAATTTGAAATTGGTGAATGAGATTTACCTTGGCATTTGGTGTTAGGCCACGAAGAATTCTACCTATTTTCTGAAGAAACAAAAATAAAAAAAATTATTGCCAAGATAAATGGTAGTCTTATAATTTGCTCTAGACAAAGCAAAGTGGCAAACTATCTTCTTACCGTCACACGCTGCATCATTGAATGGGTGGCTATACATTTGTCAAAATTGATCTTGCCACCTACACAGAATCAAAGATGGGGTGTTGGTGGAACATAGCTTAAGCAGAATCCTTTTCAATAAACAAGAAACAGAAATGGGAAATTTCAAATACAAGTAACTTTATAGACATATTTTATCATAACAAATATTTCTAATATCGATATAAGAATATAGGATAAACTGTAATAAGATTACTTTCAAGTACAATCTAGACAATATACTTCAGAGCCTCAATAATTAAGTGGACTTTTCCAAATCGTTACACACGGACATTCTTTTACCAGAATTTGCTATCACAGAGAAAGAGTGCAATACACTATAAGGGGTACTGGCTAGGGAGAAGAATCAAACAAAGTAAGAGAGCAGTGTTCCTCACAATTGCTACTCAAGCACCTAGGGTCTGCCAGGGGTTTGAAATCCGCATTACAGCATTATGAAGGTTTTTTAGCTTACTGCAATTTGAGATATTAGGCCACAATGCCCACAAAAGCCACAACCATCCACACTGCCCACGAATTTGGTTTTCCAACCATTATCGCAATCTCAATATCATCCTAGAATTAAAACCATGGGTGTGCCTCTTTATTCTCTTTGAATCTTGAGTTGCATGAGGTGATGATGCTAGCACCATGAACCAAGGTGTGCACTACTTTTAAAACTAAGATAAAAGTAGTCTTCCTCTCTCTTTTTCTCCTCCACCCCAAAACCCTAGCCTCCATTGTTTTTAGTTCTAGGGGCTGCTGTTAGCTCTTGCTAGAGGTAAGCCCCAATAATCAACATTTTCTTTAGGTACTAATAATTTGGCCATAGTTTTCATGCCAATAATATTCATCTCTCCATCTGTGGCAGTTCTTTTCCCATCTATTGATTAATATCTCAGACTATCTTTATAGAAGACTTTTATTTATGTTATTACTTATCCAGTATTCTAAATGAATTATCTGATGATCGTCTCCTACTAGTATTTACAATAGTTATCAAGATAGATCTCCGCCAAAAGAAAGCTATTTGAGATCGTTAGACCCCATTGCAGGTCTCATCAATACAAAGAAAAACTACAAATGGCAGGCAAAAGTAAAATTAGCTTTCTTAAAACAGTGGACCTATTATAAATGTTAGAAAATCAAATAATTACTAGTTCTTATTTCTTCAATAAGCTCATCCGCTCCAACAATGTCAGCTCCTGCAGCTCTTGCTTCCTCAGCTGCAGCTCCATCAGCAAAAACAGCAACTTTGACAATCTAAAAGAAAAAGGAAATCTTAGGACCAAATTCCAACGAGAGTTTTTAAAAACATGGAAATAAAAAGAAAAAGGTCTCGTGCTTTTCATTAAAAGAGTACCTTGCCAGTGCCATGAGGCAGCACGACAGCTCCACTAACACCCTACATTTCAGTGCGATACAGCATTAGCACTAACCAAATAGCATAGTATACACCCAAAAATAAGCACCAGCATAACAATTTCAGGGAAACTATACATATAACACCTTGAACAAAAAGAAACGTGTCTGGAATCTAAATACAAAAACTGCACCATATTCATCAAAAAAAAATTCTATCCTATCTAGAACACAAAGAAATCTCACAATACCAAATCACTTCGGCGTCGATCAATGCCCAAATTTACATGTGCTTCCAGAGTTTCATCAAAATTTCTCTTAGCATTAGCCTGAAACAAATTAAGAAAGTTACTTCAGATATTGATCGCTAATTTTTAGTAAAAGAAACAACGGTGCAGGTAATATCACAAATCATTGAAACTAAATGAAGAATAACAGCAACATCAACCATTAAAAGCACTAAGTCCCCAGGAAAAGGCTAGCATAGTAGCAGTTACAATATGCTCAACCATTGACAACAATCAAAGGTTATCTAAGAAAATTTTTATTCAACCATTCGACAAGATATTGTGAAATAAACTATACTCAATACTCAATAACATTTAAACAGGAGGCATCTGCTAATTTTAGCAATGAGTTACCACCTAGTCATATGATCATATGTCAGGCTTTGGCAAACACGATCACCATGGCATTTGCATCAAAACTTACATGATAGTTAGACCACCTACCAAACAATAAAAGTCAATGATGCTTCTAAGAAGCTCACAGGAACCTTGACAAACATACTTCACAATGGGTGTATTCTTTTCAGCTAATATACTTCAGTAAATCAAAATTCAGCACAGCTTACTATTCCACCAACTTGAAATTATTTTATATTTAGCAGAACAAATTACTAGAGTGGCTTGAGCAGATAGCCTCCACAGGCAAGAAATCATGTTTTCAAGCTACACCAACTCGGCAACCAAGGAAAGCAACAGTGAATGAGCAATAGGGAGGCGGCAACTAAAGAAGCAATCAACTTCCAGTCGATTAGGTTATATGACCATCATTCCACCAAATTAATCAACAAAACTAAACCATATTTCAACATCCTATTAGTTCAGTCCTTAATATATCTTTCATACATTCAATTAACATTCATAAACAATGCCGAAAGATTTCAATCGATATTCCGATTATCCCATCCCACACCTATAAATTTCAAGATAAAAAAAGCAGAAATCTAACCTTACTAAAAAAAATCAAGTGACTAGTAATTTTTTTTCATAAATTCACAAAAAATAATGAATGTAAGGATGAAATGTAGTAAACCTTGACTTGGCGAATAGCTTCCTGAAGATCAAAAACCTTTCTCTCACCATCCCTCTTCTCCACCTTAATCAAAGTAGGAAAAGGAACCTCCTTCTCTTCCTCAACAACCCTAAAAACTCTCCGAACAGCTCGATTATTCGCTTCGATCGTTTTCGACTCCGTCTGCAGCTCCACTCTCTCCTCCTCCACTGCGACACGATCCTCCGGAAGCGGCGCAACCCTCTTGGAATACGAAACCGGTGTTATTGTCATCGGCGAATCCTTCAAATAGCGAAAATCTTCTCGCGTCAAATCCCTCGCCGAAAATGCATCTTCCGACGGAGGTGGTAAAGCGTTTTCCGGCGGTTTTAGGTCGGCGGCGGGTTTAGGTTTTGGTGCGTAGGAGACTGGTTGAATTGGCGGAGGTTGTGGAGAGTTGTTGGAGCAGAAATGGCGGCGGTGGTGGAGGAAGAGGGAGGAGATTTGGGAACGAGGGATTCGGCGAGTCTGAGAGAGGAAGTGTTCTAGGGCTGCGGCCGCCATTGATGGTGGTTAATGGTGAGAATGAGGTTTCTTAGTGCCGGGAAGTGTGAGAGCCAGGGGTTAACGAATGGGTTTTAGCAATACACTTTTTTTTTTTTTTTTTTTTTTTTTACTGTAAAATCTTTTTGTGAAAGTCAAAACCGGTGATGACCCCAGTTTTTACTACACGAAAATGGTGACTCTTTTAAAATTGAATTACACAAAATGACCCTAATTAAGAATTTTGTACCACTTTATAACCTTATTATTTCCTAAATATAGTAAATTAAAATGGTTAGATTTATTCAAAAAAAAAACCCACCAACAACACAGCCAGGCAGCCACCCCCACCACCTCCTCCAACCTCACGCTCAGTCGTCGTCTCCCCCACCCTCTTCACTGCCGGCGTCGGCCATCCTTCCCCACCGGCGTCCATGCCAATTAAGGTTAGGGTCGCCAGAGAGAGGGGATGCCTGAGCGCCAGCAGGGTAGGTGGGCCGGTGTCGACAATGAAGAGGGGATGGGGTGATGGGCTGGCACTCTGGCAGTGATGATGTGGGCGACTATTTGATGGTTTTGTTTTTTTAAGTTTTTTTTTTAAACCTAACCTTAGTTAGTTTAGGGTTCGTTTTGGCATCACTGTGGTTTTCTGTTTTTTGGCGTTTGTTTTTCAAAACCATATGATATATGTCATATAATGAATAAAAAATTAGTCAAATTTATTAAACTCATGGTAATTTTGAAAATTGATAACAAAAAAGTGGAAAAACCTTTTTCTTGTTTCCTGGTTGTGGTTTTTTGTTTTAAAAAAAAAAATACTGAAAACAAAAAACGATGTCAAACAAGCCCTTAATTAACCATTTAATGAAACACAAACTATTGGGTGCGGCAATCCGCACCCAATAGTTCGTGCGGCAGCCCATTTCTTCTACAAAAATCCTGCCATTTCTTCTTCTTTTTCTTCTCATTCTAAAACCCTAAATCTCTCTTCTTCAATCTCCTTAAACCCATCAATTACATTCATCAGAAGATTATTAACCACATTCCGATGCGAATCCCAAAATCGTCGCATTGGACGATGGTTGATTATCACATCTCTAAACTCAACCCAATTGAAATCATCCCCAATTCTCCACATTTCAAATTGTCGTCAAGGATTTGCGGTGCGGTGGTTGGTGATGCGATGCGATTTGCGGCTGGTAATGCGGTGGTTGGTGGGATTGGTGGTGGCATAAGGATTTGTGGACGGTGGTTGGAGGTGGTACCGCAATGGCTTGGTGATTTTGGGCTGCGATTTTGTGAACGTTGCTCATAGCGGGTTGGGTGGCAATTGGGGAGCAACGGTGGTAGTTTGATGGTGGCTAGTTGGGCGACAATTGGGGGAATTCCAAATACTTCGTTCCATATCTTATTTGGGGATATTGGGATATGTTAATCTTCAATCATAAAGCTCCTAGAAGAAACCCCACACTCATTTGAAAAAGAGAGAAAGAAAGAGAGGAAGAGGGGGAAAGAGGAGAGAGAAGGAGATAAAAAATATTTCGTATGTTGTTGATCATATTAGCCAACAAATGACGCATATCAGCGAATGAAATGAACATATCAGTCAACTAATGTTTGATATCAGACAACATTAGGAACATATCAGATATTAATAAAAACGTATCAGCCAACAAATGAAACATATCAGCCAATAAAAGAAATACATCAGCCAACAAAAGATACACATCAGCCAACATAAGCAACATATCATCCAACAAATGAAGCATATCAGCCAACAAAAGGATGAAATCAGCAAACAAAAGCCAACAATTAAATTATACATATCAGCCAACAAAATGAAACATATTAGCTAACAATTAAATTATACATATAAGCCTATAAAATAAAGATATCAGCCAACTAATGTCTTATAGCAGCAGCTAACAAAAGGAACATATCAAACATTTAAAAAAAAACATATAAGCCAACAAAAGGAATATATCTGCCAACATAAAATAACATATCAGCCAACAAATGAAACATATCAGCCTACAAGTGAAACATATCAGCCAAGCCAGTCTGCACACAATACCTTCACTTAATGAATAAGGTTACAAGTGAGATTAAATTCTCAACTAAGGTCATTTTGTATATGTAATACCCCATATTTTTAATGTATTTTATAAATTACTTATTTATTTATAAAATATATTTTGGGTTAAATTATTTTAGTTATCGGATTTAAATAAACAAGTTTTGATTTTTGGGCTAATAATTATTCAATCCGAATGTAGCTCATTTTCATAATGAACCCAATCATCCTATTTTTACATTTGGCCCAACTATTTTATTATTTAAGTTCATTTTTTTATGAAGTCCAAACCTACCCTAGCCTACTCTACACTATAAATATTTCATTTATCCCCAAAATTTTCCCACACAAAGTCAATAAGTCAAAAGTTTAGTTTTCTCCTCATTTTCCTTTTCTTTTTCTTTCTCTTTTTTTTTCCTTATTTCTTTTTCTCTTGTTTTCCTCCTTATGCGTGGGAATTGGATCAAGTGGATCCAATTCCACTTACTACTGCCACGTCACGAAGGCTAGCCACTGCCGGAGTTTGACTGCCCAACCAGCCGCCGACGACCAGCCGACCACCACTATCGTGACACCCTCCTTCTCCCTCCTCTTTTTATTTTATTTGTTTTAAGTTAATGATATACGTATGAGGTTTTGATTTAAATTGTTTAAAACATGGTTAGCTAGTTTTATAATGATGTTTCAAGGGGATTATTTCATATTACATATTATTATTATGGGTATATTTGCAGATTTCATAAATTATAAAGTTTAGGTTTTTAATTTATTCAAGACATAATTTTTTTGGGCTGTTATACAAATTGATTTGGGGCTTTTGTATACCTAATGATTCTATTGATTAATTGGGAATAAAAGTATATTTTAATAAAGTTTTAAGGGGTTTTTAATCAAGGAATATTGCTTGAATTTTATTTAAAGTAGTAGTATTGTGATTTTAATGAAAGGGTCTAATTACCCATTAAAAGAGAGGTTAATTAGGGGTTCAAAATAATTTTCAGATTATTATAAGTTATTTAAAGTGAGTTTAAGTTGCTGGAAATTGTATATACAAGGGTAATTGATGTAGGTTTGTTGTCCCTCTATGTAGGAGACTTGGTTCGGGAAGTGTTCTAGTGTAAACGGCAACTTTAGGAGCTTATTCGAGGTATGTACGCGTACTCGATATTTATTAAGCATGTAGAAGCATGTAAGGATTTATTTTGGTTGATTCTAAATTAGTTTCATGCTAGGAATTGGTTGGAATTGGTGAATTGAATTAGATTGATTTAATTGGAATGGTTTAGGTGAAATATTTGTGAAGCATGATTGGTTGAAATAATTTATTTATTGGTATTGGTGGTGTTGGAATATTGTTATTGAACAATACTTTTATTATTGACATGTTTAAAGGCTTATTTAATTAAACTAAATGTTTTATTTAGTTTGGAATATAAAAAGGGAATTTTGTTATGGTAAATACTACCTCCGGATTATATTAGATGCAACTTTGGAGCTCTCGTGGTCTCCTAGAAAATTTTGAGAAAGATAGTTTAGGTTCATAATTGTATGTGATTAGAATATGAGGAGAGAGTAAATCAAGAGAGAGAAAGTGGGGACATGTTTAAAGGTAGGAGGGAAATCAAATTTTTTTGGTGGGGATTTATTGTGGGGACCACATTTTTGTGGGTGAGGTTTTTGTGGGAAATTTTGGCTGAAGTTTGGAGTGGATACGTTTCCCTCCTAAATTTCATCCACAATTTCCCAAATTTAAAATTTTCCCCACATTCAAAATTTTCACCCTTTTTCATTTACCCTCCAAAGTACCACATTAAATTTGAACACACCTTATAAATTCATTGTCAACCACCACATTAAATTTGAACACACCTTATAAATTCATTGTCAACTACCACATTGTATATCATAAATTCTTACAACATCAGTTAAAATGTTTCAAACACACATGTCCTACAAATTAAAGTTTACATTAATTCAGACCTCTTAAAGAAAGAAAAAAAAGACCATCTTCATTAACATCAGCAGCATCATCAGAGTGCAACAAGAGAGACAGCAGCAAAAGGGAGAGCAAGTTCACTTCTTCCAGTCTTTTTCTTCATCACCAATTTATCAAAATCAAACAAAAAAAAAGAAAAATTCTGATTTTTTTTAGTACTGATCAAATTTTAATGGAGGAAGAAATAGGGCAATCAAGCAACCAACATGAAGAGATTGATCAAAGGAATAGACTTAAACCCAAAATAAATTTGGACACAAAAGGCATCTCATTGAAACCATGCTAGTAATGCAAACAAATAACAATCTCCCTAGAGGAGCAAAAGCCAAACTAGCAGCAAATTATAGTGTGCACAAGTCTACTATCACAAGAATTTATGCAAATTAGATCAAACAAAGAGAACAAGGGTGTAATACCCCGTATTTTTATACGGATATTAAATTATAACATTTTTTTATGAAGTATTTAAATAATTTGAAATGAATTATTTATGGTATTTTATTAATTTACAAAAGTTTATTTTAATTAAAGGTCCATTTTTATTTATTTAATTGCTTTGAAAATATTTTATTTTATTATTTAGAAACTTTGGGGCATATTATTTTATAAAAGGAAATTTTAAAGTCAATGAAATTTAAAGAAATTCAAAGACTAGTTTGAATAGGAGAAAAAATCATTAAGGGTAAAAGGGGAATTTAAGCTAGGAGGGTTTTGAGAGAGGGTATATATACCCATCACATGAGCAAGTTAGACCTTGCCCAAGGTGGAGAATACTCAAAGGTAAACTCTCTCTCTATCTCTTCTTATTTTCTCTCCCCTTAATTTTCCCCCCCTCCCCTTTTATTTTCTCACCTCCATGCCACACACCACACACGCCACCCACGAGTGGCCGGCCGTCACCACAGCCACTCACCGGCCGGCCATTGCACCTAGCAGGCGCCGGCAGCAACACCATCGGCGGGCGAGCGCGGCAGCAGCCCTGCCATGGTGGTGTGCGTGCACAACCTAAAAAAAAAATTCTCTTTCTATTTTAATTTAATCTAGCCTTGATTTAATTATTGTTTTTGGTGTGTGTGATGATTTTATGGTGTTTGAATAATGATTAGTATGTATATAATTTTCAGATTTAGTTTTTGAATTAAAATTCCCCAAATTGAAAACCCTAGGTTTCTAAATTAATGAATATTGATAGAAATTGATTGTAGTTGATTGAAATTATTGAAATAGGTGTTTTTAAACATAATTACAGCAATTTTATAAGTTTTTACAAAGATGTAATTTTTATATAAAGGTTAGAATTATGTTTCCTGAAAGGATTTTTAATTACCCATTAATTGGGAATAAAAGTAGGTGATTTAAATTAATTTTCAGCATGTTTTAAAGGGTTTAAAAGTGATTTAAAGAGTGTATACATTGCTTGAAATTTATTATGAATAGGTATTAATGTCTCTTTGTAATTTTGGGTTGTAGGAGATTTCCAAGTGAGTGATTTTATGTAGTCGTAGCGATTTTGAGATCATATTCGAGGTACGTTCGCGTACTCGGTAATTATTTAAGTGTGTAGAAGCATGCTAGCCTTTGTTTAATTAATTCCTAGGTAGTATCATGATAGGTATTAGTTGGAATTGTTGATTAGATTGATATTGGTGATTGATTTGTGAAGTTGGATTATTTGTGGTGAATTGATGATTGGAATTAATTATGTTGGCATGTTGATTATGAACCACACTTTTATTATTGACATAATTGAGAGCATGTTTGATTAAACTAAATGTTTACTTTGGTTTGGAATATAAAAAGGGAATTTTATTATGGTTCATATAATTTTTATTGATGCTTTAAGTATGGGAATTGATCTATTAAGCGTCTTAGTACACAGGAATAAAAGAAAATGCGGTGCCTAAGTGCACTTAAGGTGTTCTAAACACCGAGTGATAGGATTTGCGGTGCTTTATGCGCTTAAGGTGTTATTTAATGCCGAGCTAGTCTAAAAAAGGTTCAACATTAAAATTATGTGGTCACTAATTATTCAAGAATTAAATCGGTATGTTTGATTGCTTGAATGATTTATGATGATTGATTGTGTTATGGTTTGAGAGCCATCACCAAGTTTAAAAATATGTAAACAACGCAAAGTGAAAGAGATTACGCACCAAAACTCTTGGAACGTATATACCTCAAGTATCAACATATGGGGAGAGTAATGGGGTTTTATATTTAACCATAGCTTCTACTGGGAATACCGGACGTTGTATTTTCCTATTTATTTTATGCGCAAGACGTCCAGTCACTTTCATGTGGCATTTGCCTACCCGGTTAGCTCCCGCTGGAATTTACCTCAATTTATTTGGGGCAGGGATTTGGTGGGAAATCCGTTCGATGCGTAATCAAATTAAATAAGCAATTTATTTATCTATTGGTTGGTTGTATGGTATGTTGTATGCTTGTAAACAGGTGCAACAAGGTAAGTTGTGTGTTGATAGGATGAAAGCATGTAAATGTGTACTGTTTACGCTTATGTACTCAGCTTTGCTGATTGTTTGTTTCTATGTTTGTTTGGCCTTGTCTTTATCTTGGCTCTATGACGACCCATTTCAAATGGCGAGTCGTGGGGGCAAATTAAAGGGAAGCTTTTCAGGTGATGAAGCATTTTATGATGGGCATGAGTGAAGAGCGATTCCTGTTTAGTTTCCATAAGAATGTGATGTGTTTTATTCGCTTGATTATTATATATTTGCTTGTGAGACTAACACAAATATTTTAACATTCGTTTTGAGTTTCGATAAGGGCCTACAATGGTTCCAAATTGTAGGTTGACTTCGTTTGGCTTTGGTTTGACTTTTTAGGTTAACTTATTTTGAATGGTTTTTAAAGTGAGTCTTCTGTTGTGTGTCTTTGATAACTGCCTTAGCCGTTTTCACGGTGGCAGTAATGTCTTAGATTTTCCTATTTCGAATTTTTCAAAAGAGAAAACCAGATATTTTAAAGGAAAGGAATTTCTAGGTTGTTACAAAGTAGTATTGAGATTTTTATTACCACTAAAGCCAAAAACGTGTTTTAAAATATTTTGTTTTAAGCTTGGCCGAGTGTTTATTTAATTGAGTAATTTTAAAATTAAGTTATTTTATTTTAATTAAATGAGGGTCGAGTTTTTTTTTTATATATATTTTTGGAAAAATCCTATTTTTTTTTATACACTTGGGGTGTCGAAATTTTTTTAATTATGGCCGAAAATTTGGCCTTTCCGGAATTTATTTTCGAAAATTTTCTTTTAATAAAGAGGAGTCAAAAATATTTTTAGTTTGTTCATTTTACAGGAAAGCGAAGGATTAAGGTAAGAATTATGTGTTAAAAGCTTTAAAAAGCATGTTGTGAGCTTGGGTAGGAAAGAATTAGGGGCATATAAGTTAGAAATAATCATGTTCTTGTATGCATTAATATTTAGGTTGTGATGTTTGATCATGTGAGTTAATTGATTGGAAGCATGTAATTATGTGACTAGAAATAAGTAAAATTGTTTGATTGAACATTTAACCTAAATTCATGCAAGAACTGTGTTATTTTATTTTCTTTGGGAAGGGAATTCTTTTCTAAGTCTTTTCCTTTACAGGATGCCAATCTTTTGTAGCAAACACTCTCAAATTGGTACTCTAATTAAGAAAGATTTTGAAAATCCCTTTGACTATGTCAAGAAAATTCGTTTCTATTGTTCACACATGAGCGATGTCTTAGAAGACAGACATTATGACCTTCCTGATCGTGTTTCAGTTATGATAATTCATTATTTTCCTGACGAACTACCATATCTTGTCGTCAAAGCAAAATTTGTTGATTTCTATTTGCCTAGGGGCATTCCCAACTATTCCAAATACAAATATTAATTTGGACAGTGGTACCCTGACTACATATACTTGATTTTTTTATCTCGTTCGAGTAGAAAAGTATCACTGCGAGCGTTTACATATTCCATATCCAAATTATTACTATGATAACCTAGCAGGGAATAATTCCCCTTCCACTAGCAATCAATCAGGAAATTCTTCCCCACTACAGGGTAATCAAGTAGGAGCGAATGGAGGGCAAGAGGAAGGAAAGCTAAATGATGAGAGTAACCATACTGTTGATAGTTCCATTATGGAAATTCTAAATCTAAATCCACCCCCAACTCCAATTATAATTGACATTTCATCTGACAATGAGGAAGATGAAGAGTTCATTCAAGTAGAGCAAAATCCAGAGACACCTGAACCAATAGAGGAGGAAGATGACCCTGACTTCGATCCTGGAAGCTACAAACAATCGAAGGACAATGTTCGAAAGGACTAGATTTTTTTAGTTTCATTTCCTTTAGGATTATTAATTCATTTTCGCATCTTAATTATGTCCTTTTCAGTGAAGTAATAAGTGGCATGGCCACAATGAGTCAATAAACCTATTCAGTTGCGTAGGTTATTCATTCCTATTCATTTTCTTACTCAGCAATAAAATTTTTATTCATTTCCTTGCAAAATAATTCATTTTACTGCCAAACAATTCATTTCATTTCCAAATCATTCATTTCATATAACTACTCCAATGAGCCATTTCTTACTCAAATATTCCAATAATTCATTTCTAAACTCTGGGAAATAATGGGAATTATTTTTATTTATTGATGTGATGCTTTATTAAATGCATGGTTGGTTAGCAATCAAAACTTGGATGATAATGCTGCAAATTTTGAGAGTTGTAATTTTGCAATCTCAATTTGTTAGCTTAAATTAAGTGTGTGTGTGTGTGAAAGGTATAAGTTAGTTAGATGGGTGTCTAACTTGAGAGCTAACCATGACCATAATTAATAAAGACCCCTTATTTTTACTTTAGGAGATGGAAGATGGCAAAAGGAAATGGGAACAACAATGAAGGGAATGAGTTGAGTGAAGTTGTAAGGCAGTTGACAGGGGTCGCTCAACAGTGGGGATGCTTAGGGGGGAACTATTTAAGAAGGTGGCGTTAAGCAAGCCACCAACCTATCAAGGCGAACCTGATCCAACCGTGTTGGAGAACTGGTTAAGGGAATTTGAGAAACTGTTTGGGGCAGTAGGATGCCCAGAAAATTCGAAGGTGGGCTGTGCTACCTATTATCTCAAGGGTGAAGCTAACCTTTGGTGGCAACAAAATGAGACTACCATCAAAGCACTACCTGGTTTTAATTGGACTACGTTTCAAGAGAAGGTCAGGGACATGTTTTACCCTAATTTCCTACAGAAACAGAAGGCTAAGGAATTTTCTAACCTAACAATGGGGGATATGTTAGTCACCGAGTATTATAACAAGTTTATTGAGCTGTCAAGATTTTCCAAGGAGTTTGTTGCTACAGAAAAGGCAAAAGCTAGGAAGTTTGAGAGTGGATTGACCACTGATTTGCAGCTAAAGCTGTGTGGACAAGTGTTCGAAACCTTAGATGAAGTTTATGGGAGGTCTGCACACCTTTATGCGTTGGAGTTGAAGAAAAGGAAATAATTAGTTGAGGCAGAAGGGAAGGAAAAGAGAAAAGAGATAGGACAGAACTCTAGAAACCCTCAAGGTAACCAGAATAATTTTAAGAAGCAGAATTACCACCACAACAACAACAACTTCAACACCATCAATAACTTCCACAATAACAATCGTCAAAGTGGACGAAATTTCAATGGAGGGCCTAAGAACTCCAACCAGGGAAATAACAAGGGTCCAAGGCATTTTTACTGCAAGAGGCGTAGGAATGATCACCCTGGTAAGAGACTGTGAGGGTAACTTGGTTACTTGTCGCGCTTGCAACAAGTCGGGACATAAGGAGTACGAGTGCTTCTCTAAAGATTCTAATTGAAACAAGTAAGACAATAATCAAGGAAGGTCTCAAAGGAACTTTTAGGGGAACAACATCTATTTAGGGAACAAAAGGGCACAACAGAATGGGGTGAAAGGCAACAATAATGGGAATAATCAGGTGAAGAGTGGAGCTCTAGAAAAACTGAATGTGATCCATAGGCACGAAGCTGATACTACAAAGGATGTTATTACTGGTGCTTTTTCTATTAACTCTATTTCTGTTAAAGTTTTGTTTGATTCTGGTGCAACTTTTTCTTTCATTTCAAAAGCCACTGTTTCAATGTTATCACACTGTCTGAGAACCGTAGATGTCATAAATGTACCTATAGTTATTCCTAGGGGGGGAGGTAGTACAGTGTACCAAAACATTTAAAAATGTGCCATTAGAGACCAAGGGGAAGGTTTTTTTGTCTGACCTCATTGAGTTTGGGTTAAGTGACTTCGACGTTATTTTGGGAATGGATTGGTTGAGTAAGTATAGTGCGGAGATTCGTTGTCAATCGCAGAAGGTGCAGTTAAGTACAACTGAGGGTGAGTTGGTAACACATTAGAAGCAAGGTGAAACAAAGTTCCCAAGGATCATATCTATGATGAAGTCGCAAAGTATATTAAGAAGGGACATCCAGTATATTTTTGTAGTGTAAGAAACTTGGAACACGAAGAGACATCTAAGCCTAAGGACATAGAAGTGGTAAATGAGTTTCCAGATGTGTTCCTAGAATAGATTCCAGGAATGCCACCTAGAATGGCAATTGAATTCACAATAGAGTTGGTCCCGGGGACAACACCGATTACCAAGGCACCATATGGAATGGCATCTGCAAAAATGAGTGAGTTAAAGGAGCAACTGTAGGATTTACTAGAAAAGGGATACATTAGACCAAGTGCATCGCCTTGGGGAGCTCCAGTGTCGTTTGTTAAGAAAAAGGATGGGAGTATGAGGTTGTGTATTAATTATAAGGAGTTGAATAAGGTCACCATAAAGAACAAGTACCCATTACAAAGGATTGATGACCTATTTGACCAATTGAGGGGCGCATCTATGTTTTCCAAGATTGATTTAAGGTCTGGATACCCTCAGTTGAGGATCGCAGATGAGGATATTCCCATGACTGCATATAGAACAAGGTATGGACATTATGAGTTCACAGTAATGCCATTTGGATTGACGAACGCTCCAGCAATCTTTATGGACTTGATGAATAGGGTGTTCCATCCAGTTATGAAAAAGTTTGTCGTGGTGTTCATAGAAGATATACTGGTGTATTCAAAAAATAAAGAGGAGCATGTGAAACATTTTAGGGCAGTTTTACAAACTTTTAGGGAGAATAAGCTTTATGCGAAGTTTTCCAAGTGTGAGTTTTTGTTGAAGAAAGTAGCATTTTAGGGTCACTTTATGTCCAAGGATGGGGTAGAAGTAGATCCAGCAAAGATTGAGGCAGCGAAAGGATGGCCTACACCAAAGACGGTGTATGACATTAGGAGTTTCTTAGGTTTAGCAGGAAATTATAGGCGTTTTGTGAAGGACTTTTCTAAAATTTCTAAGCCTATGACCTCTTTAATGAAGAAGGGCAAGAAGTTTGAGTGGGATGAGAAGTGTGAGGAAGCTTTCCAACTCTTGAAGCAAAAGTTGATGACAACACTAGTGCTTACATTGCCAGATGATAGTGGAATCTATGATGTATATAGTGATGCATCCAAGAATAGTCTAGGATGTGTGCTTATGTAAAATGGAAAGGTGATTGCATATGCATCAAGACAGTTGAAACCTCATGAAGTAAACTACCCTACTCATGACTTAGAATTAGCTGCAATCATTTTTGCACTAAAGATTTGGAGGCATTACTTGTATGGGGTGAAATGTAGACATATAATACCATGAAGGGAAAGCAAATGTAGTTGCAGACGCTCTAAGTCGTAAGACTAGCCATGGACTAAACACTTTGATAGTGGCTGATGAGTTGTGTAGGGAAATGAAGAAATGAACTTGGAAGTGGTAGAATGCGGAGTGCTAGCAGGTATACTTGCGAATCTAAGCATTCAACCAACAATATTTGATGAGATAAGGGAAAGTCAGGAAGGAGATGTTAAGTTGGATAGGATTCGTGAGAAAATCAAGCAAGGAAAGGCTACAGATTTCAAATTTCATGAAGATGGAAGTTTAAGGTACAAGGGTAGATGGTGTGTACCACAAAAATGTGAGGAAGAAATGAGAAATTTAATGGAAGAAGAACACAATACACCATACTTAGTACACCCAGGAGGGGACAAGCTATACAAAGACTTGAAAAAGATGTATTGGTGGCCTAGAATGAAGAATGAAGTTGCGGAATTTGTAGCGAAGTGTTTAACTTGTCAAAAGGTGAAAATAGAGCACAAGAGACCACAAGGAACCGTGCAATCATTAGAAATTCTTGGATGGAAGTGGGATTGCATTTCGATGGATTTTGTGACTTGCCTCCCAAAGTCAAAGAGCGGAAATGATACCATTTGGGTCGTGGTGGATAGACTTACTAAATCTGCAGTGTTCATACCAATGAAGGAGACCTGAAAGATGGAGCAACTTGCAAAAGCTTACATCAAGAATGTTGTGAGGTTACATGGAGTTCCAAAGGGTATTGTGTCTGATAGAGATTCTAGGTTTGTTTCAAAGTTCTGGAAGAGCGTGCAGGAAAACTTTGGTACAACACTAAAGATGAGTACGACATTTCACCCTGCCACAGATGGACAAACTGAGAGAACTATTCAAACCTTAGAAGATTTGTTGAGAGCTTGTGTCATAGACTTCCAAGGGGGATGGGAAGATAGCTTAGACTTAATTGAACTTTCGAATAACAATAATTATCATGCGAGCATTGGCAGGCTCCATTTGAGGCATTATATGGAAGGAAGTGTCGCAGTCTTGTATGTTGGAACGACATAAGTGAAAAAATGATCTTAGGGTCTCAAATGATTGAAGATACAGTTAAGCAGGTAAAAGAGATTCAAGCAGCACAAGATCGTCAAAAGAGTTATGCAGATTTGAAGCGTAAGGAAGAAGAGTTTGAAGTTGGTGACAAAGTATTGTTAAAAGTATCACCAATGAAAGGTTTCATGATATTTGGGAAGAAAGGGAAACTTAGACCAAAGTATATTGGTCCATATGAGATATTACAGAGTATAGGCAAAGTAGCTTATAGGTTGGCCTTACCTATGGAACTAAGTAAAGTGCATGATGTATTTCATGTGTCTTAGTTAAGAAGGTATATACCTGAAAGTCACATGTGCTACAACCTGAAACAATTGAGTTAGATCAAAGCTTAACTTATGAGGAAAGACCTGTCAAGATCCTTGACGGTAAAGTGCGTAGTACACGCAACAAGGAAGTTAAGATTGTTAAAGTGTTATGGTCTAACCAAGAATATGAGGAAGCAACTTGGGAAGCCGAGGATGAGATGAAAAAGAAGTACCCTGAGTTGTTTGAGGTATGTTGGGTTACAGGGACGTAACTCATTTTCTTTAAGGGGGGTAAAATACGGTAGATTTTCGTGCTTTTTCCCTTTATTTTCAGTTATTTTAGTGCTTTTTGCACATTTTAATGGTTATTTCGAGTACTTTGATTTCAAGGAGACATTAAAGGTAAAAGTATGTCAAAAGAGTACAGTAATATTACACTAAGTGAGGAAAAATGTTGATTTTTCGTTTTTTTAAGGGGGGTAGATTGTAACAACCCCGTATTTTTATACGTATATTAATTTGAAACATTATTTTATGAAGTATTTAAAAATTTTGAAATGAATTATTTATGGTATTTTATTAATTTAAAAAGGTTTATTTTAATTAAAGGTCCATTTTTGTTTATTTAATTGTTTTAAAAATATTTTATTTTGTTATTTAGAAACTTTGGGGCATACTATTTTATGAAGTTTTAAGGTCAATGGAATTTAAAAAAAGCCAAAGACTAGTTTGAATAGGAGAAGGAATCATTAAGGGTAGAAGAGGAATTTAAGCTAGGAGAATTTTGAGAGAGGTATAAATACCCATCACATGAGCAAGTTAGACCTTGCCCAAGGTGGAGAATACCCAAAGGTAAACTCTTTCTCTCTCCCCTTAATTTTCCCCCTCCCCTTTTATTTTCTCACCTCCACGCCACACACCACGCACGTCACCTACGAGTGGCCGGCAGCAGCACCACCAGCGGGCGCGCGCGACAGCAACCCTGCCGTGGTGGTTTGCATGCGCAGCCTTCAAAAAAACAAAAACTTCTCTTTCTATTTTAATTTAATCTAGCCTTGATTTAATTATTGTTTTTGGTGTGTGTGATGATTTTATGGTGTGTGAATAATGATTAGTATGTACATAATTTTCAAATTTAGTTTTTAAATTAAAAAGCCCCAAATTGAAAACCTTAGGTTTCTAAATTAATGAATATTGATGGAAATTGATTGTAGTTGATTAAAATTATTGAAATAGGTGTTTTTAAACATAATTACAACAATTTTATAAGTTTTTATAAAGCTGTAATATTTATATAAAGGTTAGTATGTTTCCTGAAAGGATTTTTAATTACCCATTAATTGGGAATAAACGTAGGTGGTTTAATTTAGTTTTCAACATGTTTTAGAGGGTTTAAAAAGGATTTGAAGAGTGTATATGTGGCTGGAAATTTATTATGAATAGGTATTAATGTCTCTTTGTAATTTTGGGTTGTAGGAGATTTCCAAGTGAGTGATTTTATGTAGTCGTAGCGATTTTGAGATTATATTCGAGGTACGTTCGCGTACTCGGTAATTATTTAAGTGTGTAGAAGCATGCTAGGCTTTGTTTAATTAATTTCAAGGTAGTATCATGATAGGTATTGGTTGGAATTGTTGATTGGATTGATTTTGGTGATTGATTTGTGAAGTATGGATTATTTGTGGTGAATTGATGATTGGAATTAATTATGTTGGCATGTTGATTATGAACCACACTTCTATTATTGACATAATTGAGAGCATGTTTGATTAAACTAAATGTTTACTTTGGTTTGGAATATAAAAAGGGAATTTTATTATGGTTCATATAATTTTTATTGATGCTTTAAGTATGGGAATTGATCTATTAAGCGTCTTAGTACACAGGAATAAAAGAAAATGCGGTGCCTAAGTGCACTTAAGGTGTTCTAAACACCGAGTGATAGGATTTGCGGTGCTTTATGCGCTTAAGGTGTTATTTAATGCCGAGCTAGTCTAAAAAGGGTTCAACATTAAAATTATGTGGTCACTAATTATTCAAGAATTAAATCGGTATGTTTGATTGCTTGAATGATTTATGATGATTGATTGTGTTATGGTTTGAGAGCCATCACCAAGTTTAAAAATATGTAAACAACGTAAAGTGAAAGAGATTACGCACCAAAACTCTTGGAACGTATATACCTCAAGTATCAACATATGGGGTGAGTTATGGGGTTTTATATTTAACCATAGCTTCTACTGGGAATACCGGACGTTGTATTTTCCTATTTATTTTATGCGCAAGACGTCCAGTCACTTTCATGTGGCATTTGCCTACCCGGTTAGCTCCCGCTGTAATTTACCTCAATTTATTTGGGGCAGGGATTTGGTGGGAAATCCGTTCGATGCGTAATCAAATTAAATAAGCAATTCATTTATCTATTGGTTGGTTGTATGGTATGTTGTATGCTTGTAAACAGGTGCAACAAGGTAAGTTGTGTGTTGATAGGATGAAAGCATGTAAATGTGTACTGTTTACGCTTATGTACTCAGCTTTGCTGATTGTTTGTTTCTATGTTTGTTTGGCCTTGTCTTTATCTTGGCCCTACGACGACCCACTTCTAATGGCGAGTCGTGGGGACAAATTAAAGGGAAGCTTTTCAGGTGATGAAGCATATTCATGATGGGAATGAGTGAAGAGCGATTCCTGTTTAGTTTCCATAAGAATGTGATGTGTTTTATTCCCTTGATTATTATATATTTGCTTGTGAGACTAACATAAATGTTTTAACATTTGTTTTGAGTTTTGATAAGGGCATACAATGGTCCAAGTTGTAGGTTGACTTCGTTTGGCTTTGGTTTGATTTTACTTTCGTTTGCTTTAACTTTTTAGGTTTACTTATTTTGAATGGTTTTTAAAGTGAGGCTTCCGCTGTGTGTCTTTGATAGTTGCATTAGCCGTTTTCACGGTGGCGATAATGTCTTAGATTTTCCTATTTCGAATTTTTCAAAAGAGCAAACCAGGTTTTTTAAAGGAAAGGAACTTTTAGTGTGTTACAAAGGGGGAGTGGTTGATGTCAGGACTAAGAAGCTTGGGAAAACTAGCCCAAAGCCAAGAGAATACTCAGCAGAATGGCTGCAATCAGTGCCTTGTCGTTTGAGGAAAACCAAAAGAAGTTATGCCGCAACCCTCAAAGTCAGCCATTCAACTGTGCATCTAATGAAAAAAAGGGGAATTCTAGAAACCCACACAAGCAATAATCATCCAAAACGGACATATAACCACAAAGTAGCAAGGATCAAATGGGTGTTGTTACACAATGAGCCAAGAGGACCAAGAGCATATCCAACATTCATTGATATGGATAATGCCATCCATATAGATGAGAAGTGGTTTTATTTACACCCCAAAGAGAGGAGGTTTTATCTTCTTCCTAATGAAGAAAATCCTCATAGATGTCAACTATCGAGAAGGTTTAAATTGAAGGCTATGTTCATGGCTCTTATTTCAAGGCCACATACCTACACAAGAGGCTTCATGACTTTTGATGGAAAATACGACATTTTCACATTTATTTTCCATCAAAGAGCAAAAAAAAAAAAAAAAAAAAAAAACAACAAAAACAGAAGTGCAGGAAATGAAAGCTATTTAAAAACAACAAAAATGAGATCAAGAAAATGCTACTATAAAAGGTGATTCCAGCAATCATTGCAAAATGGCCAGCAAACAAAAGCAAGGATCTCTACATTCAATGGGATAAAGCAAGACCACACCAAATTCCAAGAGATGATGAGTTTATGGCAGCATTTACACAAAATGGCTTCAACATTCAAATGGTATATCAACCCCCTCAATCCCCTGAACTGAATGTGTTGGATTTAGGATTATTTAGGTCTATTCAATCAATTCAATATCAATCATTTCCAAATAACTTGAGTGAATTAGTTGAATTGGTTGAGGAAGCTTAAGAAACTTTTGACCTAAAGGTTAACAAGTTTGTGAGGTTGACATTGCGAAGAACAATGGTTGAAATTCTTAAGCATCAAGGAGGAAACAATTTCACACTACCCCACATGGGAAAAGATAAACTTCAGAATCTTGGTTTGTTACCATATAATAATTTAAAGGTAAGCCTAGAAATTATGGAACATGCTAAGCTACTAAGTTTCTTAATGACATATTTATCACAGTTGAATCAGAAGGTGCTTAATTGGAAGTGGATGCGGATTAAATGCAGCAACAAGAGCAAGGAAGGAGCAACTAACACAGGGGGCAGACTGCCACACATAACTTCAGTAAAGACTTAGGTGGAAGGCAAGTTTAGTAGGTTATGTGTATTTTGGTTTTATTTTT